TCACAAAACCAGGGAGTACGAAGGGCAACACTTCGTGATGTTGATGTCATGATCATGATAACACCCACAGCGGCTATATAAACACCGATCGAGCACACTCAGTCTCATTCTACATGGTGCTGCCGTGGCAGCCGGATGAGCGGGGGGAGGGAGGGGGGGGGTAGAGGGAAGGGGGCAAGAAAGGGGAGGCTGGAAGGGGGAGGGAGAAAGAGGGAGGGAAGGGGAGAGGAGAAAGGGAGGGAGAACATGGCGCTGTCATGCGCCGGAGAGGAGGGTATAAGGAGGGGGAGGTGGGGGAGGAGAGACTGAGAGAGAACGACCGTTTTTAAGAGTAAGGTCTATATTCATGTTGACGTATTATTCTAACCTGATGTGGTGATTGTGATAACACCCACAATGGCTACAAAAACACCGAACGAGCACACTCAGCCTCATTCTACATGGTGCTGCCGGGGCAGCCGGAGTCGGCGGGCGGTAGGGGGGAGGGGGAAGAGAGGGAGGGAAGGGGGGGAGAGGGAAAGGGAGGGAGAACATGGTGCTGCCAGAGAAGGGGTATAAGGAGGTATAACACATTCAATAGTGAGGTGGTTAATGGAGTACGTCATGCTGCTATTCCGTGGTTCCTCCCTACCCTGTGATGCGCGCGATAGCGGGCGGAGCAAACCTGGTAATAAATAAGCTAATAACTCGGTTCCAAGAAGTCCAGGAGACCAGGAAAGAAGTGGATCGAGGTCGGGGACGGAAGTAAAGTCAAGTGCCATTGGTGGGTGGGACATGCACAAAAGTGAGTTGTCCACAAAACATCATAATTCTGTTCTCAGAAGTCCTAGTGGGTGGAAAAAGGTTGATAGAGGTCAGAGAAGGGGGTGAGGTACATGTTAATGGTGGACGTGGCGCGCACAAAATTGGGCGGAGTTTGTTATCAAACTTTCAAGAAGTCCCGGGGACCTGGAAAAAAGTGGATCGAGGTCGGAGAAGGAAATGGGGTAAATGTTAATGGTGGGCGCGGTGCATAAAAGAGGGCGGAGTTTCCTATCAAACTCCTAACTCAATTTTGAGAACTCCCGGAGACCGGGAAAAAGTGCATAAGGTCTTACAACGGAAGGAGGTCAATTCCTATTGTTGTGTGGCACCTACTGGCGGAGCTTGGAAGCTATATGAAAATATCGATGGCTTCATACCGTTGCAGTCCCGTGTGATGCACACGAATGCGTGCGCACCCAAACTGTAACACACAATAACTATGTATTAAATATGTGCAAGATATTCCGTACTATCGCGCTATGCCTGTCTGTGTGTCTAGCTCTTCGTTTAACCCGAAATTTATCACATCCCAAAGAAACAGATAATATCCGAGCCCGAAAAGTCTGGGTTACGTTTGGGATCAGCGTAGAGTAGTTCAAGATGTACAGAGAATGCGACAGCGCCAGCGCGATTTGGGGTGATGCCTAAGGCAAGTTCCTTTGATTTGCTTCGAGAGTCATCGAAATACAGGAGAAAATTAAAGGACATTACTTACGGGTGCATATGAGATGAGGCATAATCACATCACAGTGGACGGGTCGCTCTTTGAATGCGCTCATCGTAGTTGGGACCAATTTTGCAACTCGCAACAGGGCTTTAACAGCCCTTGCACGAAAAACGTGGACAAATAACAGGTGACCATGGTTCCATTGAATGAAAGGGATGTAAGGCTTGGTGGGCTCCAGCATATCCTATGCGCAACCCATGTCTCATAAACAGCCCCTTAGGAGCTGAGCGAGAAGATGTGCGAAATTCTGCTTTGTCCGCCAGACACGCCGAATTGTGTAACAACTTCCACTTCGCAAGCAGGAAAGAATAAATATGACGGGTCATGGAAGCGGTCATTGCCGGCTTTGTTGGTCAAGTCTGTGTACATATGAAGAGCATTTTAGTCGAACTTACTGCATTGGTTTCTAGGTTTAACACGGTAATTGCGATTACAATTAGGTCACTACGTTGTGACCCATGGCTAACTGCGACCTTATGATGTGGTGATTCCGGATGGGAAAACAGAGTCTGAGCATCATGGCTGATCTTTCCCGGTTGAAATTGGTTGGTTGAAATTAGAAGGAGAAACATTTCGACTCACTTTTAATGAATTTCGTGCGGTTTTTCTTAGGTTTATACTTGCCGTCAAGTTTGACGTGACGGGTAGCGTCGAGAACTTTGACGACACAGCGCGCATGCTCAGGCACTGTGTAGGCTTTCTTCGAGCACCGCTCTATTTCTTCACGATCAGCGGAATCCAAGTGGTCAAGCCTATAACTGGTAAAAGATTGAATCGAACGGTCGTTCAAGTACACAGCCACAATTCAACTTCAACAATACTAATTCACCAAAGAATCGCTCTCTTCTGGTTGCCAGCACAAAAAGTACGCTCTTCGGAAAGCGCAACTTATGATTTATGGCTTCTCCGGCTGAGATGCACGCGCCTGCAGTGCAGCCACACCTACATGCATGTCACCTATTCCGTCATTTCACTTTTTTTCTTAACTTCCCATAGCAATAAATTCTGTGTTTTATGTCACTTCCGTAATTGCACATCTTGCTGACCATTCGCTAATGAGAATTTTAACCGTCAGAACTGCAGCAGGTTGCGGTAGAATTCCAATTTGGAACACCAAACCTATTCTTTTCGTCGTCAACAAGTTAAAACTATAAGGAAGACGCACAATGAAATTAAAAAAAACAGCTATAAAAACTTTTCAGAATTGTTCTGTCCCGAAGTCTCATGTTGATCTAAATGTGTAATAAACAATGTGAGACTCCAAATATTTATTGCAAAAGACTCAAAACTTTTTACAAAAGAATTGCAAAAGTGTGAGTGCAAAAGTTTTTGCAAAAGCTTAGGTGTTTTTTGGCGAGCGCGAGTTGGCTCCTGCTTCACAAACCAACAGGGCGGTAAGTGTTTGACTTTGTCAGTGAGCAGCAGGTGAGTCGCTTAGTATACTTTAATATACTAATATACAACAGCTTTAAAAAGCTTAAAAAGCTTTTCTATTCATTTCATTTCAGGCTTGACAAAGGCGCTAAGCGCCGAAAGCTCGCCAAAAAAGACCTAAGCTTTTGCAAAACTTTTGCACACACACTTTTGCAATTTCTTTTGTAGAAAGTTTCGGCGTCTTTTGCAATACATATTT